GGCGGCCGGCTGGCCGTAGGAGTCGCGACAAGCCACCGAGCGCTTCTGCAAGCCATCGCCGCAGCTGACGGAGCACGCCTCCCAACCACCCACCGCCCACTTGTAGGAAGGGCGCTTGTAGCTCGGTCTCCCGCCATCCAAGCGGTTGGACAGGCTGAGGACGCTGTTGTTGAGGTCCGGTGGGGTCCTGCCCTCCTTCTTGTAGGAGGATTTGTCCTCCTTGCTCTCCTTGGGGAGGTAGAAGGAGTAGCGTACCCGAGGAGGGGTCATCTTTCCCACGGAGAGCACCTCCAGAGTCAGGGGTTCCTGGATGGGCTTGAAGGCCTGGAGGCTCTCGACGGCGGTGCCGGTGCCGCTGTAGCGCAGGACGCTGCCCTTCACCATCAGGTCCCTCTCGACGGCCGAGACGATGAAGTGGCCGTTCAGCAGGTACTTGCCCTGCGCGTTCTTCAGCGCCAGGTAGTTGTCGTCGCTGATGAGTCCTTTGTAGCCCCGCTGCCGGATGTCAATGTTGGAGGCGCCCGCGGGGATGACCACCACAAAGTTGTAGCCGTGCCTGAAAGAGAAGAGCGGGCAGGGCAGGATATCAGGCACAGGGACACTGCATTTCTTCAGCCCTGAGATCCTCCCACCCCTACGTTCATCTTCTTCCCGTGAAGATCATTTTGAATCATCTCACTGCGTTGGTTTTGTCAAGGCTGATGTCACCCAGTTACAGGAAGATGCTTCGGCCCCTCTGGCTGAAGCACTCCATCAGCAGAAGTCAACAGAACATTAAATGTGTCCTGCTTCTCCTTCAGAGCCAGCCCAGGTGTCTGTGCAGTGATGTACACAAGCAGATTTTGCTCAGGATGGATTTATCCCATCACCATCTCCACAACCTTCCTGCACCCCCCACACCAGAACGCAGAGCTGGGAGTAGAGGAAGCATACGTGGTCACCGAGCACTCACATGGGTTTGGTGAACAAGCCTGAGACCTTCTTGCAGCTCTTGTTGTCTCCTCCACACACACTGCATTTGTCAAACTTCTTCTTGGAGCCCAGCTTCCCATCACAGCCCGCCTTGATGCATTTTCCCTGGACACAGACAGAAGTGGAGTCCGGGGAGCAAGGGGTGCCATCCACAACCTAAACCAGGAGAGAAAAACAAGCTGTTGCATTTCCCTCACACCCCCTGAGGCCTCCCAGCTGTGTCCATCCCACCATGCTGCTCTTCGCTGATGTTCTGCTTTGCAGACAGGATTTTGGGCTCTCTGGGAAGAGATGGATAGGATTACACGCCTTTTCTGCTCCCATCCACAGAATTTCCTGCCCTTTCCATTGCAGGGAACAAGCTGCACAGGGGACACTGCTAACACCATCCCATGCATTCTGCTCAGTCCCAAGTCTGGATGTCCACCCTGTCCTGCCCACTGCTTCCCCAGCACCCAAACTATCCTCCTCTATCCCAGGACCACAGGAATATGCCAGAGGCACCTTCACAAGAGGTAAAAATGATGCCTTCCAGAGGAAGAGCTTCCATGAATAACTCCAGCCCCAAACTGATTCATACCAGACTGGTGGACTTCCCTCTTCTACCACCTCATCTAACACCATCCACCCACCAGACAAGGAAAATCTGTTCATTTCCAGGTGCACTGGAGCCATCCCACAGTCCAGGCACTCTCACCAACCTTGGGTGCCAGCACATAGAAGTAGCCGGTGCCGTTTGCCCGGCAGATGAGCTTGCACTTATCCCGGGGCGAGACACCGGAGTATTTGGGAACCCAGGAGACGGAGGCAGTGAGGCGGTTCGTGCTGTGACTGTAGCCATTGAAAGCCTCACACTGTTCCTCACGGAAGCTCTTCCCTGGCACTGAAAATAATAGGGATGTGGTGTTGGACACCGACCTGGACCTCCAGCTTTAGTTTTCTGGGGTCCAAGCCGAGCCCCAGCCCTCACCTGCAGCAGCACAGGGCTCCAGGTTGCAGGAGCGGTACTTGACGCGGATGCCCTCGCAGTAGGAGCCCCCGTTGGCCGGCACGGGGTCGGTGCATTCCCGCCGGGCCAGCTGCACCCCACCGCCGCACGTCCGCGAGCACGGCCCGTACGGAGCCCACTTGGCCCAGCCACCGTCCACCTGCAGGGATGGACAGGATGAGGCGCTGCATAGCCGTCATCTCCACGCCTGGAGCCATCCCTTCAGCAGTAAAACCTCCCACAAACCTTCCTTGTGAGGGGAATCCAAGAGGGGGATGCTGATCTGCCCAAGGGAGTGGTCTGAAGCCGTGTCAGGGGAGGGTTAGGTTGGATATCAGGAAAAGGTTCTTCCCCTGAGGGTGCTTGGGCACTGGAACAGGCTCCCAGGGAAGTGGTGACAGCCCCAAGCCTGACAGAGCTCAAAAAGCATTTGCACAATATTCTCAGGCACGTGGTGTGACTCTTGGGAATGGTCCTGAGCAGGGCCTGTAGTTGGACTCAATCCATCCTTGTGGGTCCCTTCCAGCACAGCAAATTCTGTGAAACTTGCCCAGGGCTGGCTGGAGCAGAGCAGCAGCCTCACTTATTGAGAAATGCATGATACCCAAGGGATCTCCAGTTCTTTCCACATCAGTGTCCCCATGCTGGATCTCCACCAGCAGGAGACTGGGGATATCTCTGCCAGCACCTGCTCAGAGTGACCCTGCAGGGTGTTTTGGGGCTCCTGGCACAGGTACTCACCCTGTACTCACTGAGTGGCCCTGTGGGGTGTTTTTGGGGCTCCTGGCACAGGTACTCACCCTGTACTTGCTGACGTTGTGCCTCTCCACGCAGGAGCCCTTGAGGCAGAAGCGCCCCTCTCCGCAGGCGGTGCCGTCGGCCCAGGGGAAGTGGCGGGTCTGGCAGACGATCTGCCCACGCGCCTTCCCCGTGCACCACAGCTTGGCACAGTACTGCATGTAGGGGCAGGGCTTGGAGCCCACCCCGAAGGCGAGCTCGCACTGCTGGTTCAGGCTGTAGCTCGTCCCCGGCAGGTCTTCGGGCAGAGGGATGGGTTTGGCAGGCTGGTCCAGCAAGCAGTCCCCTGCAGGAGTGGGGAGAGGGGGTCTACCAGGTCCTGGGGGGTTGTGTGGACCAGAGTGGGGAGGGAAAGCACTGCCATGGGGAGATGAGGGAGAGATCAGGCCAAAACAACCCCAGGAATGCCCTCAATCTCAGCTGTATCCCAGACACAGATGATTCCATCTCCTGGTGATCCCTTGGAGCTGTGCCAGCAGCCTGAGTGCAGATGTCACTGCTGGGGACACCCAGGAGGTCTGGATGCTACAGAAATGCTGCCAACCTCCCATTTCCTTCTAAATTTGTTTCTAGAGGCAGGAGAGGAAGAGCTCTACTGCCAGCCATCTTTTCCCAGTAAACACCTGCAGGGACAGACCCTGCACCTAGGGGACAGGGACACAGGTGGGGGGCACAGGAGGGCTCACCGTGGCCACTGTCCAGGAAGTCGGTGATGATGGCAGCGCTGCAGGCTGACCAGGGGTTGGCACGGTCGATCTGGATGAGGGTGGGGGACATCATGTGGTTGGTCTTCAGCCGGCCAAAGACCTCCTCACAGGCTTTCACGTTGTCATGGGGCATGTTGAACACGTGGCCTGGGGGTGGGATAAGGGAGGCAGCGTGAATAACCCAGCACAGCAGGATGAGCAGCAACCTCCCCCAGCTTCTTTCAGGGGAGACTGAGATATGGAGTGGGGCAGAGCCCTGCAAGGATGGCAGCTGCAGACAGCCCAGAAGAGTCAGCAAACATTCCAGCTCTCTCCCAATGCCTCATGCACATGGAAAGCACAAGGAAAAAGGAAGGGCAAGGGAAATTGTGAAGGTGAAGTGACTTCAGCACTTGCCCCACTCCCTCCCAGAGGTAGGTGTGCCCTCTGCTTGTTATTTCAGGACTCCTGAATCCTGGAAACCCAGCTGTGGTACAGCCATGAGAGCAAAGCCTTTTGCTTCCTCAGCAGCCCTTTCCCACCTGCCTCAGGGGGACTCTTGTACCCGAGACAGAGTTTTCTATCACCGGAGACCGCCTATTGTCTCATCTCCCAGAGGCTGAAACCAGGGTTTTTCTGAACCTTGCCAGCTCCTGGAATCCTCCTGAGAGGAAGAGGAGGGCTGGGAGCCTTACCCAGCTCGTGGGCGGTGGTGAAAGCCGAGGGCAGCCCATCGTCCTCGATGACGGAGCAGCTGCGCTTGGGGTCACACATGGTGCCCACGTCTGCCATTCCCAGCGTGTCACAGGTGGTGGCACCACACAGGTCCTGCCAGTCACAGAGGGAAGGGGTTAGTCCTGGGCTCAGCACAGGCACCGCGGTTCCCCTTTCCCACCTCATCCCTGATGGGAAGAAAGCCCAAAGGGATGGGAACCACACCGGGATGCAGAGGCAGGAAATGTCAATCCTGGCCCAGCTCAGGCTGCAATGGTGTGTTTGCAGTTACCCCTGGCACCAGGGATGTGTGTAGCATCCTGCCCTGCCTTCAGCAACAGCTTTTCCTACCCAAACAGCTCCTCTGGCCAGGGTGGAGCTGGTTTTGTCTCGCAGGAGCCAGTCTGGTTCCCTTCATCTTAAGTGTGAGCTCAAGGACTAGACCCAGGTGGGTGGATGGGAGCACATCTGACCTTGAACTCAGGGCTGAGCCACTTCTCAGTCTCATTTCTCAGCTTCTTTCAAGGAACAAGAAAGCCCTGGACCAGGTCCAGAGATTTCCAAGGCTAAAGAAAGTTGCCAAGCTGCCTCTCTAAGACACCCTACAGCCATCCTTCAAGGAGCAACCAAGCCCAGCTGGTCAAAGGAGGAACCAGCCCAGGCTTCCACCCCCAAACTGAGGACAGCCATCTCCTACATAGATGTTGCCAGGAGAGAGGCTGGGAAGGGTCTCATTGCAGGCAAATCTGGCCTTCCACAGGTGCTTGTGCTAAAAAAAGTCCATTTAAGACACACTGATGCTGCAGCCCGGCAGTAACCTTGTCCCAGGTGCTCCCTTCCCCTGCTGGGGTGTGGTTTTGGTTTGGGAGGGCTCGAGCATCCTCCCCTCCCTTGGTGCTGCCCCAGAGTTGCCATGCAGTGGGCAGGGAGCTGTTTTCCACATGAAAAGAAAAGTAGGGGACTCGCTGGGCGCTCCCATGCTATAAATAAGTGTGATTCATGCTCAGCACTCGCCCAGCCAAAGCGCCTGGGTTGCTCAAAATCCTGCAGGAGCTGCTCTGCCAATATTTCCAGCAAGGTTTCCAAGCTGAAGGCATTCCCGCGCAGGCAGGTTCAGCCGTGGGTAAATAACAGTCCTGATGACTTCAGAGAGCCCCAGCCAGGGCTGAGATGGCTTTAACAGGAGACCCGGGGCTACGGAGTGTGGAGGCACAGGCAAGACCGGCATCTCCGGAGAGGTGACGTGAAGAAACGTCTGGGTCTGCACTGGTGGTGGAAAACCCCCATCACAGCTGGGCTCAGCGCTTTGCTCTGCAATTTTCCTGACCAGCTGGGACCCTGCTGCATCCCTGATGCCATCAAACATCGGTGTCAGCAGGGAGAAGAGGTGGCAGCCCCTCGTTGCATTGGCAGTGCCACCACTGGTGGGCACAGGCTGATTAATGGTGCTGGCAAGCCCAGGTGCAGAGTCCCCATCCCAAAACAGCACCAGGACCCAGTGCCACCACCACACTGAGCCAGCCAGAGCTGCAGCTTGCCCAGGAGCCCCTGCCTGTGCTCTGAGCAGCACTGGGGGTTTGGGGGTGAGGATGGGACATGGAGAGGAACGTCACAGCTCACAGCTCCCCGCTCACTGCTCTTTGAAGAGTTCTTTCCTCGCCAGCACAGCGAGCTTTGGCTCCCAGCCCAGCACCTGCACTGACACACTGACCCACTTCCCGCTCTGAACCTCGCTGTTCACACAACCAGCGGCTCCTCGGGGGCTTTTCCCTCACTCCTCACTGCAGGACAGCCTGGGGATGCCAGGCAGCATCTCTGGGCTTTAATGAGAGGTCCTGATCCCCCACCTGAACACCTCCTTCAGCCTTGTCAGGTGTCCCCTTGCTCAGGAGGGGAGCAGAGGGAAATGGAAGAGGTTCAGGGTGGGAAAGCAGCGTGCGAGGCTCTGCCTTTGCTCACTGTCACCGGTACCCCCACTACTGGCACAGATACAGGGAGGCTGCTTGGTCCCCCAAGGGGCTGCAGACAACCTGCTCAGTGCATCAGCTGCCAGCCTGACCTTCCTACCTGGGACCTTCCCAGGCTTTTTGTCATCTCTTGTGAACTTCTCAAGACATTCCACAGGTCAGTTAGGGGGATCCTTGTGGTTTGTGCATTAATTCACCTGCTCAAAGTCATAAGCACTCTCCCTGCCACAGAGGCTTCCTGTGAGCATCCAAGGCAACTCCGAAAAGCTGAGGCTTGAGCTGCAGTTTCCAAATCCCGCAGCATCAGCCACGTGCTAAGCTGCACCCAGATGTTCCTTCATGCAACATCCCTTCGGTTTTACAGCAAAGCAAAGACGCGCAGCCAACGTTTGCCGGTGTGACAGCAAAGTCCAGGAGGGGTGGGGAGGATGGACAAGCCCTTTGCCATGGTGTGCAGGGACATTTCCAGGAGGCAGGACGGCAGCTGAAGGCTGGATGCTCTGCAGGACCCTGGGTAGGAAGGGAATCTGCACCCACCAGCTGATCAAGACTGAGCTTCCCAAAGCAAATCCATCATTCAGCATCGCCGATGTTGGAAGGGAGCAAATCCAAGCAGTAGAAGAGAGCCCCATTCGTCAGCAACTCATCAACACAACTGAAAACTGCCTATCAACCAGCCTGGAGGTGAAACTTAAGTCGAGGGCTTATGTAACAGCTTTTTGGCAGGAAGATAAGCTTCGGGATGTCAGGGGACCACAGATGGATGCACTCAAGGAAGGCAGATGTCTCCCTGACCGTGTGCCTTTGCACTGAGCTTGCTTGGGGATTTCAGGAATGGATGGTTTAGCAATGTGTAAAAAATGCAGCCCAGACGTGATCCACATCTTTTGAATCACTGGGACCGACTCTGTCCCACGTGCAGCTCCAGTGACCTCACTGGGTTTCCACCAGAGGTGGAGCTGGCTTGTCCCTGCAGAGGTGTCAGCAGTGTCCTCCTCTTTGAGCTGCTCCAGCAGCCTGGGCTTCCATCCTGTCTGTGCTCCCAGAGGATTCACAGCTGGCCCAGGGTGGGGGGGACAAGAAGACACACAGGACAAGATCTCACACGTCCTGCACGGCATCATTCCTGCTCCAGGCCATTGTCAGCCCTTGATGAGCCCAGCCTAGGGACAGCTGAACTGAGCTGGATGTTATATCCTTCCCACCCACAAATGCTGGACCTGGAAAAGTGTTTTGGAAATGGTCTCACTGCCGCTGAGGGGAGTTCCTCACCTGTCCCTAATCCAAAAACATCTGGGCAGGGATAGTGGAAGGAGAAAATGCAAGGAGCCTTTTGTGCCAAAGCCTGCTGCAGCCAGGATAAAACGTGACTGTTCCCTCCAAGCTGGGCTCATCCTCCTCCCATCCCATCAGTGATTTTGGAATGCGGGCACTGGACTGATGTCCACACTGACACAGGGCTACAGGGAGGGAGGGACAACGGGGAGAGGCTGTGGGAGCTCCAGTGTCACCCAGTTTGTGGGGGCAGGAGGATGCAGAGCTCATCCCACACCCCACATCACCGTGGAGCCACACCAAAGGCAGCTCCAAGCCTCTCTCCCACCACAGGGACACAGCCAGCCCACGGCAGTGGTGGCAGCGGCTCTCCCCTCTCCCCCACCCGAGGGCTGTAGCTCTGGCTGAATCTCTGGTGCTTCACTTCCAGCCCTGAACCGGCTCCGGGCAGCGCAGCCAGCGCCGAGGAGAGCTCCAGCTTCTCAGGAGGACCTCGCGCATGAGTCAGAGGAAGCAGGGAGAGGTTTTTTCTTGGCAGGTGGCACTGTGAGCTCTTCCCAGCTGGGGAGGGGGAAGCGGGACCATGCCCCTCCTCTTCTGGGCTCGGACCTCTCATGTCAGGGTGCAGGGCAGAGCCGCAGGGCGCTCGCTGCCAGCTCCGGCACGGAGGCAGGAGACAGAGCAGCAGGTTTCTGCTCCTGGGGAAATCTTTGGACACCTCCCGGCCTCATTCACCCCATGGCAGGGATTTTTCCAGGCTGCCAGCCAAAAGCTGCCCAGGGGACAGCAAGGGCTTGCTCCATGCCTCTGCACCCCCTGGCCCAGCATGTGAGAGCGGAGGTTCCCTGGGAAAGGGGGATCAGCCCCGGGCACAGCCTCCCCCATCACGCACACAGGTGGCAGAACGCCTTAGCCCAGCAGGGCTCTGTCACAGGGGGCTCAGCTCCTCCGGGTCACCCTCCCTGCACCCACCTGCTTGGTGAAGAGGATGGCGGTGTCCCAGTACTCGGGGTGCTTGTCGCTGACCTTGTTCCACTTCTTCTGCCAGGCGCAGAAGTTGCGGAGGGTGAGGGCGGCGTTGCTGGTGACTTTGGGCCCTTTGTCATCCTGCCCGATGAGGAGGAACTTAACCACGGAGATCTGGATGGGGTTACGGATGCTGGGGTGCTTGTAGAGGCGGGCGGCCGTGGCCATCAGGGTGAGCAGGTAGTGCTGGAGATCATCCCCGTGGAATTTCACCATCGACTCGTCGGCCACCACCAAGGTCTCCACGTAACGCGGGACCGAGGCAAAGCGCTTGGCCCGACCTCCTTTCCCCCCCGCACGCCCCCGGTACTTGTCGAGCGCCTGCAGCACGCCGGGGGTGAGCCCGGAGCCCACGGCACAGCGGGATGCTCCGGCCCCGACGGGGCGGCCGGGGCTGCGGCCAAAGGCAGCTGGGAAGGGCCGAGCTCGGGGCCGCGGCGCTTCCCAATTTGGGCTTGAAAAACAAGAAAAAGAGAAAGCAGGGAGGGAGGAAAGGAGGGAGACGCCAAGCCCGGAGCCAGCGGCTGCCCGCAGGAAGGGATGGGGTGGCCGCGGGCATCCTGGGACTGAGCTCGGGGGTGGAGGAGGCATCCAGCCCCCGGGCATCTCGATCCCACTCCCGGCTCATCCCGATCCCTCTCCCGGGGTATCCCACCGCGGCAGTGCCCGGCCAACACCCCAGTGCCCCGGGCTGGCGGGAGCCTCCCCAAACTGGTTTGGCCTCCCCAGGCTGGCGCCGCTGCCAAGAGGAGCAAAACATCCCTGGGCAGGTGCGGCGGTGCCCGCGGGGCCGGGGGTGCTGCCAGCGCGGCGGGGAGGGGACACCCGAGGCACCCACCGCAGACGGGGACCCTGAGGGACAGCAGGGCTGGGCTGGCTGCCGGGGGGGTGCAGAGGGAGTGGTTTGGGGACTCAAAGTGCGGTAGTTTTGGGGCTCAGAGGAGGGTGGTTTGGGGACTTAAAATGAGGTGGTTTGGGGGCTCAAAGGGGGAAGGTTTAGCATTTCAAAGGGGGATGGTTTGGTGGTGCAAAGCGGGGTGGTTTGGGGCTTAAAACAGGGATGGTTTGTGGGTTCAAAAGGTTTTGGTGCACAGATGTTCCCCCAGCATCTCTGCCTGGCCTCCTGCAGCCCCCCAGCTCCCTGCTCACCTGGCGGAGGCTGGGACAGCTGAACTCCTGCTCCAAGCGTTGTGAGCTGGACAGAGAGGGGACAGAGATTCAGGGGGGTTCCT